AGATAGAAGTGTTCTTCAGTTAAGGGTCACTTTCCATGACTGTCAGCTGCAGAGAGATCAGTGTAGTCATCCTCTCCTACACTAAAAGTCAGGGAAGAAAAGCAAATTCTGAACTGGAAATGGTAGGGGAAAAGTTAACTTTAAGTTTTTAGAACAATGATTGTTTTGTTAAAAAAACAGGAGACATAGCTCAACAGTAAAAGGGCTTTCCCAGCTGACATGCCTTGAGGCCTGAGTTCAGCCCCAGCACCACGAGAGAGAGAGAGAGAGAGAGAGAGAGAGAGAGAGAGAGAATTAATTTTTAAGAAATGCTGTTGGGAATTGGAGAGATGGATCAAAATTAAAAGCACTTGCTGCATCTTCCAGAGGATGCAGATTCCCAGCATCCACACAGCTGCTAAGAACTGCCCATACATAACTCCAGTTCCAGGGATCTAGGGCCCTTTTCTGACCTCTGCAGGCACCAGGTAACAAACACCTGCAGGTACACAGACATACAGGCAGGCAAAACGCCCATACACAAAAAATAAATTTTAAAATTAAAAAGTATATATATATATATATATTGTTGGGTATGTGCCTCGGCACAGTGAAGGACAGAACTTCCTGCTAACCAGAGCTGACCCTGCATTTAGAGGGGAACCTTTGGAGATCTTTCCTAGACACCCGCACCCCCACCCCCGTTCGGGGGATGAAATCCAGGCCTTGAGCATGTCAGGCAAGTGTTCTACCACTGAGCTCCATTGCCAACTCCAATGTAAATATTTCTCTTTCCTGTTTCATTTGGTATTGTGACATAAGAATTCTTTCTGAGTCAAACTTTTCCTCTGGCCTGGTTTTCTTGGGTTGTGCTGTATTTCATCATGGGCATGTTAACTCCGCAGTGCAACCATTTAGTTTGAAGAAATGTGTGTTTAATGAAGGTCCACTTCCCTTCTTTCTCTGTATGTTTATAACTTGAGTTGCTTGCAATAATGTGTTAAAAATGACACGTTAAAGAGTCCTTCTTCATTTCCCAAAGATGTCACACAAACTTTACCCATGAAAAGCAAGCACAGAAGTCAGAACGGTGATTGGATATTGTGCTGGCTTGTCAGATATTGGTGTGGGCGTGTGTTTGACATCTAGACATTTTCTTATACCCTGGTGAAAGCAGAGAGGGGAGAGTTGCAAGGCTGCTTGGCAAGAGTTCCCTTTGTGTCTTCTTGACTCAAGTCATGAGGGCCTTCTGGGAAGCAGACAGTTCTGGATTTGAAGAATGGCTTTCTTACTTCCAAGCTCTCTGAGCTCATCAAAGAACCCCATCCCTCAGTGGGCATGCTATATACAAACCAACACAGTTCTGCTGACCCATGCAGTGTGCCTGACAGCCATTCTGGCACACTCCTGGTGTCATGCTTCAGGTCACTTGTGAATTGTGTGATCTTGGACAGGTTCCTTAGCCTTCCTGTGTCTCCCAACACTGAAGGTGCCTAGTGGACATTTAGTGCTCACTGCATTATTCGGCTGTGGATACTTAATCAATGATGTATGGAACCATGCCTGCTGGGCCTGAGGATACTTTTCCACATGATTTGTGGAGCTGGAGCTGCTGAAAGGCAGTGAGCCTGCCAGGGTCACACCTTTGCCTAAAGTCTGGGCCCCAGCCTTGAGGATGGTGAACCATAGGGAACACGGCAGCAGCAGTCTTTGTGTTCTGCAGTCATAGGGAAAGCAGTGCTGCTCTGGGCCCCAGCTCCTCTTTTGAACACTTCAAAGGCTGAAGTGGGAAGTGGGTCCACTTGAGTTACACTGACTGACCTGATCAGAGTCCCGCTAGCCCAGGTCCTATAGCCGCGCACACACTGCAGCCGAGCTCCAGCATCTTTGTCCATAGCCTGGAGTGAATTTCATAGCCATCTTTGAGACCTTTTGTCTCTAGGCATCAATGTGCTCAACAAAAGTGGAGCCAACCACAGACTGCCTCAGCCCCCCCCCCCCCCCAGCCTGCTTGCACTTGTCCAGTAGGAACAACCAAGCCTGTGGGTCCTAACTCAGCGTTAAGAAGCAGAGATTCACATCTCCATAGTGAGATTATTTAACGCATAAAGGATTTTCCCCATCAGGAAAGATTCCCCTACAGGTTCCTTTAAATAGTGACTCCTCGAGGCCGGCAAGAGTTTTACAGATCATTAACTACCTGACTGAAAGCCTTTGGGGCAGGGAAACTTAAAACTGAAGTGTCGGGAGCCCCTGCCAATTACAGATCAATCCAAAATGAAGACAGAGTATCACTGGAACCAAGTCAGTGGGAAAATGTGATTCGATTCAGGAAAAAAGTCTCCTGTGCATGCTGCTTTCGTGGAGCACACCAATTGTTTAAATGATGTTCCACCTGTCTGCCCATCTTGAGCTTTTTCTGTTCATCTCCCACATCTCCATTCCCAAGCTGCAGTCTTGGGGTTCCTTCTGTAAACAGTGTCAGGGGCAGTAACCCCAGGAAAGGGTGTCATTGGGAAAGGGTTCTGTGGCCAAGTTAAGCACAGGTGACTGATGCACAGATACAGCAGGTAATGGATGAACTATGCGCTAACAATTTGCAGATAAAAATAATGGAAGTTAAAAGTGTACTTTACATGATAAAAGAAAGATGAAAGAGGATGAGCAGTCTGTTACATCTGAGATGGTTGCAGGAGTTCTGCTTTGTGAAGTAGGCTCTGTTGAAAAGATTGATGCAATGGGGAGTGACCTTGGCTTGGAGCAGGAGCCGGTGATGTATGTATGAGCATCTCTCTGCTAAATGGACCCAGATTTGTAGCACTAATATACATGGGAGCCCAGAACCAAACTCAGTATGGCAATAAATCAACAGCCACTTTGGGTGTCATTTCTGGTTTATATTCCACTATTGTTCTATCACTTTAATTCATGTCACTATCATCTTTTCATCTGGAACAGTTTTATATAATTTTCCAGTGGAGTTACCTGACAAATCCTATCAAATTAACAAGGTACATTAACAGTATTGACTGGCTGCGGCTTCAGGAGTTGCATGGCCTTCTAACAAAATTTTAACCATCTCTGTCTGGTGGTGATTTTTTTTTCCCCCTTTCTTTCTAAAAGAGGAATGTGGGGCAGGGTTTATTTCCACATAAGAGATATGCACATTTATTTTGCTCTGTCTGTTTGACTGTTATAAATGTCAAAATAAGAAGCAGATAAGGAGGGAAAGCCCTGCTCACCGTGAACGTGCACCGTATTACCACAGTGTGCAACTACATGAATATGCACCCCAGCACCACAGAGTACACACACAGGAACACTCACCACACACATGGACAATAAGCCCATCCTCACAGCGTTGCATGCACGTGAACACTCATCACTACAGCAAGCACACACATCAACACTCATCCCATCATCGCAGCATGCACGCACATGAACACTCACCCCGTTACCACAGCATACATGCACATGAACATTCACCACATCATCACTGCCATGACTCAAGTCTCCTTTCAGGGAACAATAGTGATGTCCAGGTCATAACAATTAATGAGCAAACTAGAGGCTGGAGTGAAATGTAATCACATGGTCTCCTGATGGCTTCTTAGCCTGGATCTGAGACCCAGGGTTGGCTGCCTTCAGGACATTGTGCCTAACTGAAACATCCAGAGCAACCCAAGCATTTGGTTAATAAAACAAACAAATTGCTGGGCTCTACCTCCGATGATGGGGTCAGCGACCGTCCCTGCATTGTCCATCTTTCTCTCTGCATGCGGCCTTCCTCCTTTGTCTACTGGTTTTGGAATGAATCTCCTCACAAAATAATACAGTGGGTGGAGGAGGACATTTCCAGTCATGGAAATTATTTGTTTTTATTCTTGTTTACGTTAAAATTTTCTCCCAGGCTGTGTGTTCTGTGTGCCTGTGCTTTGGTTGAGGGTGGAGGTACTAATTGAGCTGGGTTTGGGTGGGGTTTTTAATCTTCTTTTCTCACAACTCTACTTGTCTTTTTCTATTACAACATGTACAATTGATTATTTCAGGGTTTTTTCTTCATGTTCTTTTTTAGTTTTTTTTTTTTTCTTTCTGCTTTGACCCTGACCTTAAACTATGACCTAGAAGTTAATTACTTTTAAGGCTCCCTGTGGGCCTCACTCTAGAGCACATAGTAGAGGTTTACATCTCACTTCATGAACAGTTTCTCTTTTCAGCAGAGGACTTCTAGACCATATTTGGTGTGTCAGACAGAGCATGTCATCTCAGAAATACCCAGAGGGCACCTTCCGTGTGTGTCAGCCCCAACCCAGACACTTCCTGCACTCTGCACCACATTTGCTCCTGTTCATTGTCCAGCATATGCAGAAAACAGGCTGGAGTCTCTCCCCTCCCCCCCAAGGAGTGGCAGGGGCCCCCCCCCCCACCTGAAAGCCTGGCTACAAGATTTGAATTTCGAAGATTTTGTGTAAAGACCCTTTGCTTTTCCTATGGCTTTCCTTAAATATTATGTGGGAAGTTATGTAGCGTCACAGAGGGAAGTTCTGTCTTCTCCCTTTATTTTCAGTGTAAGATTTTTACAGTTCAGAAACTATATTGGTAGCATATCACTCAGGTTCTTTATTTAAAAAAAAAAAAAAAAACTATGAGAACTATCTTTAAATGACCCTCTATTCTAGTTTATGTCATTCCAATATAGATAAAATGCTGTTAGCAGTATGTGGGGAAATTCCATACTGCGTCTCTATTAGATCAGGAAAAGTTCATCTCCGAATAGCTTTTTATATAACTTTGGGTTGTCGCCCCACACCCCACAGCTTGCTTGCTCAGCAGCCACACTGTGAGAGTCTCAGATGCTGTTTAGAAGCCCTGCCTGTTTGAAGAATCCTGTGTTCCTAAAGCCCTAAAGACCTCGTGCTCAACCACTTTATGATTTATCAGCAGGTCAGATTATTACACTGAAGTTACTGGCACCTTCCTCATCTCATGGCTTCTTTTTTGTCCCTGATTTGGCCTTACAGGTATCTCTGGAGACAAAGTAGAGATAGACCCTGTTACGAATCAGAAAGCCAGCACTAAGTTTTGGATTAAGCAGAAACCCATCTCAATCGATTCTGACCTGCTCTGTGCCTGTGACCTTGCCGAGGAAAAGAGCCCCAGTGAGTAGTCCTTTATTTATGTCCACTTTTCTCACCCCTCCCCCCTGGGTGCTGGGCGCAGAGAGAATATATGGCCACCATGTCCTTTTTTTCCTTGGACCTGTTTAATTCATTACCAGAAATTTCTTTCAATCAAACAGGATTGTCTTATTGTGCCCAGAGCCTGGTGTAAGCCCCCATCTTGCTCCATCTTGCTCCATCTTGCTGTCAGCAGAGACCCTTGAAGCCCTCTGCGCTGGAAGGCTGGGGCACCAGGCAGGTTCCTGCTGGAAATTTGCGTGGAGGGTGGAGGGGGGTTGATTTACTTGGTTCTCCTGTCCCTTCCCATTGAGGGAACTTGACCAGTCAGCCCCGGATATGCTTTCCTTGTGCCACACCAGTAAAAGGTGGAGGATTTCCTGCAGCAGCCAGAGACTAGATTTAGGCATCCATCATGCTGGAAGTGTCAGTACACGCAGATTATTGGCATCTCTGTGACCTCTAACTCATAACTAAACTTCTGCCTGGTCCTACAGAAGAGGCCACTATTGTGCTGGCATTCTTCCACCAACCTATCCAAGCAGATACTGTTGGGCACGTTATATTTTTGCAGTTAAGTAATTGAGTGTAGTATTTAGATTAATCACTTAATCATTTTTTAGTACTCCCGCCCTAGCAAGGTTACAGAGAACACATAGCTCAGAGTGGAGCCTCTCTGTGAAAACTTTATATGTGCATGTTCTTGATTACATAGGGGAAGGCCGACAAATAAGGTTCTCAGACTGCTGCACCTCAGCATTTCCTGCTACCCTGAGCTCACCCTAGTAGCTCTTAGCTTGGTAACTTGAGGTACATACTGAACATCTAACTTGGGGGCCTATGTTCCCACATCTGAATTTGAGAACAAATGAATTATATAATCAGAAGGAACACCAGGAAGAGTAAAGGCCGGGAAATGTTTATTATGTGGCTGATTTCTGAGGTCATCATGACTGAAAGGGTACCTTGCAATGCTTACAGGCTGGGCACATGCCACATGCTCCCCCATGGTAACTGTTTTAATTTCTTTGTCAAATCCAGCTATGAAAAGGTTCCTTTCATAGCTTTCAGCCTCCAGCTTGGCAAGAACAGAAAGCTTAGCTGGGTAGAGAGAGAAGTGAAGCCATTCTTGTCCTCTTACTGCTATCCCTGTCATCCCAGTGAGGCTCTGAGTGCAGGGTGCCTGCCGGAAGAAACCCATAAGAAAATTGCTAGCTACTTCTGGAGCCTGAACGCTACTAGACCCCCTCCGCCAAGTGTGAGCCTTTTTATGATTCCACCCACTCATTCCTGGTGGCCAGAAAAGATGTGTTTGTCCTGGCATCTTCCTAAGCTCTGAGGATATTCTGAAGAAAAACGTTTTATAACTTGTCTTAGAAATGTCAAGTGGTTGCCTGCATGTTGCATAGAGGCCTAACCTTTAGTGGGGAGATTGGTGGAAGAATGAGAACCAGATTTGGGTTCTCTCATTCACAGACACTTGCTGTGCCTAGGAAGGCTGTAACTCAGGCACTGAAAAGGTGTAGATGCCACACACCCAGCTATCCAGGAAGGAAGGAAAGTATCACAGCCACTTACCTCCCATTAGCTCATGGGATCAGTCATTCACAGTAATTGCTGCACATCTGTGTTCATGAGCTGGTCACATCCTTGCCTTAAGAGTACAGAGCAGACAGGGCCATCTTTCAATGCTGACAGTCTCTCCAGGATCCCAGTGTGTAAACCAGGTACATAGCTCTTGATTGGGGGGGGGGGGGGGGGGGGTCCTTGTCTCACTATGGCTAAAGAGAACTGCTCCCTGCCCAGTATTCTGAAGCAGTGCTTCTCAAGCCGTATTTTCTGAACTCAAAATACATAAGGATCTAAAGGACACAAGTGGTCCATGGGTATGGGATGGTATTTGGGAACTCCAAATTTAAGATGTTCACAGGTGAAACTTTACTTTTGCTTTTTGTTTAGCTTGCCTGTTTGTTTGTTTTTGTTTTGATTTTTAAAAATACAAAGAAGAGACGCATTCCATTCCCAGCATAACTGTAACCCATGCTCCAGGCAGGGAAGGAGTCAAAAATGATTGCTGGGGCCTGACAGCTTCCAGCCCAGCTGAGAAAAAAAAAAAAAAAAAATGAGCCCCACGTTCAGGGAGATACCTTGCCTCAAAGTGATAGGCAGAGAGTAATATTGGGAGACAGTTGACACCTTCTGGCCTCCATGCCCATGTGTACTCATACACAGATACCCACAAATATAATAAATCCTTTTTTAAGCGTTTAAAATTATATACTTGCAAAATAAAGTTCTGACTGCTTGGCACAGCCTTCACTGACATTTTAAAACCACTTATCACTCAGGCCTTACAGGCCAGAATTTCCTATCAAGAACTCAGCCTGTGAGGTACATTCACATAGTATGTTCTCTCTCTTGCCTGGCCCTACCTCTAATGTATGGACATTGCCACCTTCCACTCATTTCCATTCGTTGCCCCAGGAATTTATATAGACCTCTGGACAAATGGAATGTGCTATACTCTCTATTCAGGGTCTTCCTTCCCTCCCTCCCCCCACCCCCATTCCAAGGCCCCACTGAGCTGATTGTCCTGCAGTTGTCTACAGTGAATTTTGGTCAACTTGAAACTGTGCTGAATACGCCAGGATTGAGAAATCAAAGTTGTTCCCTGTAATTCTTGTAAAATGCCCACACCAGGATGTTAGTGAATGAATCAAATTGACATTGCGTGTTTTTATGATTTCCAGTATCTTCACTAATTAATACAGCAGCTGGATCTAAAAAGCCCCTCCTCAGAGCCTCACCAGACCACGGGGTTAATCTCTGGGGCTGCTGCTTCTTTCTCTTTCTTTCCTCCTTGCTTTTTTTTTTCCCCCTAAAGGATTAATGGTAACCCTTTTTATCTTTTATGTCTGTTGAACCTTAGAAAAAAAGTTATTTTAGCAGCACTAAAGAAATGAAAGTCACTATATTTCATAAGTTTAGCCTGTGATTTTTATCAGCATAGTGATGTATGTTTGTAGCTGAGTTTACATCAAAAATTATTCTTAGGGCTTCTTGAATGAATTATGGCAAAGGAAAAGAGTCTAGAAGTAGATAAGGTTTTTGATTTCTGCAATATATTCTCTTTTTCATGTTTTTATCTCTCATAACACAAGTGTCTTCCCAAAGACTGGAACGTGTGACCAACTGGAATAATATAGTTGTAGAAACAGATCAGACGTGTTATTAAGCAGCCTGCTTCACAAAAAGGTGTTAAGTGTGGAGAGAATAATGAAGTTATCCATGCATTCTTACTTGAGACATGTTTGTCAGAATTTTGAACAGAAAAAAAAAATGTTTTAAACTCTTCGAATATGGCCATTTTGCAAGGTTTATGAAGAAAGCTGCTGTCATACCATTCATTTGGTCGTCATAAGAAACACAACTCAGGTTTAATTGATGCCACATTCCAAAAGTGTGTGAACAACTGACTTGGCAAAGGGATGAGCATTAGCACCGGTGAAACTCGAAATTACAGACTGTGGGATCAGCACGGCCAGGCTCCCTAGCAGCAGCTCTGTGCACTCCTGCACCCTGCTTCTCCCTCTTAGGCCAGTGTTTAGAGAAAAGATTTATCACTCTGTCCCTGTGAGTGTTTAAGGACCTGGAACTTAATGACTAAATAGATAAAACCTTAAAAAAAAAAAAAAAACTGCATGGGTAAATACAGACTCTTATCAGGATTCAGAAGATCTTTGTGGGCACTGCGAAAATAAGAGTAAGTTCTCTCTAGATTTAGGGAGGAAAAGCTCTGCTTTATTACTCAAATCAGTGTTCTGTCAAGTCTGGCTTGCCGTGGATGGTTGGCTTCTGGATACATGCTAGCTCCCGTCCTAGTGCTGAACAGAACCAGGGTCCTTTCTGTGACTGGGAAGGCTCTCAGGCTGTGTGTGCACGTTCCATCACACCAAGTCTGGCCTCATCAAGAGAAGCTTACACAGGTTCTGGGTCTTTAAAGGAAGCAGCCATCATTAAGAAATCAGATTTAGACCTTAATAAAGTAGCTGTCATCTTTATAGCTGAGAAGCGCTCTGTGTCTCAATTAAGTAGAGATGTACACAATCTTAGGAAGCAGCAGAATGGAGGTAACCTGATTTGATTACATTTCCTGCAATAGTATAATTTAAAGAAAATCTGATTTTGCTGCTGCTGTGGTTGTATTGGTGGGAGGTGGGGGTTTTTTTTGTTTTGTTTTGGTTTTGGTTGGGTTTTTTTGTTTGTTTGTTTGTTTGTTTATGTTTTTGTTTTGCTTTGCTTTGCTTCTTTGTGCAAAACTATTTGGACCAAAAGTAAGAACTCTCTAGGGTTAGAAATTGGCCACAGCCAGGACTCTAGTAAATAGAACCCCCTGGATACTGGAGGCTAGATTCAGTTAAGACCTGGAGCTAAATTAGCAGGGCTTATTGGTGACCTCTCATTTAAATGAATCTTTCTTTTCATAAGTACTTGACAAGATCTGTAAAGTAGTGTATTTAATTTACTAATTAAATTAAAGCTACTGAATAATGATTTGTCCACATTGATTTAGCTTAAATGGAAAAGATTAGCTTTGTTGTGATCTTGAGCGGCCTTAATGGCCAAGCCAGTTAGACACAAAGGCCCCTTGTGTCTTGTGGGTCAGAGTACATAGGTAAGCCAGGCTGTGATTGAATTGCCCAAACCTCACCCTGCATCCAGCTCTCCTCTGCCTCCCATTCTATTGTTGCACTGGGCTTAAGAGAATGTTAACGCGGTAATAGGCACAGGGCCTTCCCCATTATACGCCTTGCTATCGAACGGTTCTGCATGACTAGTTAAAGAAGATGGCAAGAAGATTAATGAAAGCCAGGCTAATGCAGAAGGGGGTACTTTTGCAAGACTTCTACGGAGGAGATATTAGAGCTGAACCAGAGCTTGGCTTTTTCTTTATCCTGTGACCTTTGAACCTGCCTTACTGT